ATGGGTTTGGTTACCATTATCCCAATTTTGCTTCCACAGAAAACCAATTATAGCAGGTTCAGATCTCATACTAGGACTTGGAGATGACTTCCTACCTCACAGCCTAGACTACTATAAGTGTGACTTGTCCCTTCTAAGAAATGTTAAATAAATTCTAAAGCCTTACTGATTCCTATAGAGAACGAATAAGGAAAATATCAAATTCATCTTAACCTATGACTGCATTAATACACACAGCTATGATTTAATAAAAAAAAACATATCAAATTCTTCCAAGGAATAAGAAAAATATCAAGTATAAAAAGACAAAAAGAATTTGAAGTGACTCTTGCAAAAGCCACTCGAGAGAATTCTAGGCAGAGTCAAGTATATTTTCCCCTGCTCCCATAAACACCTTTTACTATTCTCTTTAAAATAGGTATCACTTGTCAGCAATTATTTTTGTGACTGCAACTGGTCTGTAAGTCCTTGAAAAGCCAGGAAATATATTATACTCATTTCTCTATTCCCACAGCCTAACCCAAAGCCTGACAATTAAAAGTGTTCTCTAAATACTTATCAATGAACACTTAACTCTAATTATATAATCAGAATTTTAAAGTGACCTTAAAGAGGATCTTAACAGTCATCCCAATTATAAGCTGCTCAAAGAAATGAAGACACAAAAAGGTTGAGTGGAAACGTCTCATGTTATAACAAATCTAGGTCACGGTCTGTTTGTTCATGCATTTGTTCATTCAATTAGATATTTATTAATACTTAATCAGACAAAAGGCAACATTAGAAAATACACCATAAAATCACCCTATAAAAATTACAGAATTGTAGAAAAGGAAGGAAGCTTCAAGATTATCTAATCTCCTATTCCTCATTTCAACCTATTTGATAGATTTTTTTTTTCAAAAAAGTAGGACTCAAAGACATTAAGTGATGTGAAAGTCAGTTAACAGCATAGCTAAACTTAGGACCCATCTCCCAACCGCCCATCTTGCATTCTACCCTCCATAACGCACATCAACTTTCTGTGATTTCAGCAAGTGTTATACTTTGTGTTTGTAAAGTATGAGCTGCCAATGCAACATCCTAATTCTCTTTATTCATACTGTTTTATTTCCAAAATTCTATTTTCTGTTACCTTTATCAAAGGCATTCTATTTTTCTAACCACTATATTCCCTGTACATGTAAAGGTGCAATGTTTGCTTACAATATATTCAGCGCACATTGTTAAAGTGGTGAATAGGAAGTACAAACAAAACGTTTTGAGGAAATGGGTTATGTCAGTGTAGGGACAGGAAAAAGTGTGTCTGCTTTCTCTCCCCTGGCCTTGGGTATGGGACAAGATGAAGTTGTCTAGGCAGTCTTCCCATGGGAATGCGCCACGTATTCTAGATAGCCATAACTGTGTACTGTGAAGTCATGCCTATGTAACGTCTGTTTGTTCCCCTAGGTGTAAAGGTGCACAAGACTCTTCCTTATATGAACTGCAAATTGTGGATTACAGATTTTGATGTGTAATTTAGCTCTACAGCCGCCAGGAGCTAAGGCAGACCTCCCACATAACTTAGCTCACCAGCCACCCATGAGCTGAACAAAGCATGTTACACCTGCCCTCCATACCTGAGTTTCTCTCCAGTCCACCCAAATTAGAACATTGAACATTATAATTAGCTTTTCAATTAACAAAAAGTGTTTACAGAAAGCTTTTCAAAAAGCTACTTTCAAAAATAAGTCACAGTGGTAATATTTGTTTACGTAACTATGCATTTATAGTTAATAATAAAGTTATAAAAAAACTGAATTATCATGTTACACTGAAAAATTTGCATGATCCTAAAGATTAAATACCTGTAGGTGTAGTTCTTTATCCAACTGACTGATTCCTTGAGCGAGTTTTGCTAGTTGTTCAGCAATTACAGCTTGATGAATAGATTGAGAAGTATACGTCTTTACATCAAAGTCTTCACTTAAAAAGTCTTTATAACATTCTGGAGGAAAAAAATAAGAAAAAATCCCAATTATTCAGTATTAAACCATAGTTATTAAACAACAGAACAGTCCAAGTCACCACAGTGACAAGTGGAGCCTTCAAATTGGGTGGTTATGTGCATCATTATAGGACATGGGTTTGTCATCTTCATGTAGTTTCCTTTACAAATCTGCTGAGGACTAACCTGCCCCCTGCCTCTTGAAATATAGTAGAACCTGCATGGTTAACCACCTCTCTACATTGATCACCTCCTTAAGTTGACCTGATTTTCATAGACCAGACATGATCCCCATGTACATTTCTGTAGAGCAGGCCTAGTCCCATATGTTCACCACCTCGGTATGGTGATCAGTTTGTTACAGTCCCTTGGGTAGTTAACTGACAGAGGTTCTACTATAGTTATAGGCCACATTTCTACTGAAATTTTGGAAAATAAGAGAAAGAGGAGAAATAAGTATCATACCACATACGTGTCACCAATGTGGTTGCAGCAGTCTCAAGGCACACAGGCAGGCAGGGATGACCCACTAGCTCTTAGGGGTCAATAGTCTTGGCAGGTCTGAGAGCTGCCCCATTAACCAGATATCTCTCCAGCAGCAAAATCAGCCTGAAGCTTGCATGTGGACCCTAAACAGGCTTAAAGGGGTGAAGTTGAGGCTTTCTCTCAACTCTGACTAGAGTGCATGTTTACATCAGCAATTTTCTGCACATGTATCTTTTCAGTGCAACAAGGGCATTTTTTATGGTAAGTAACAGAAGCCACCAAGCAGCTACTGCGTTATTCCCTCTCAGCCACTGGTCACAGTCTTCTATGCACCATTTTCTACACCAGACCTGCTTGGCACCACAGGCAGCTCTTCACCCCTGCACAGTGACATTCCAATTACCATCACCAAAACTTACAGCCAACCTTGCTGATTGGCACGGCAGGACCTTGGGTCCACTGGCACTGTCTGGTAGCAAGCCATTACCTGGCAATGGGAGGAACTCCTCTCCACATACGTGCCTCGGCCTGTGCAAGTGGCACTTCAAAAGGAGTCCATGAGCCAGTGGGATATGCAAAGATGTTTAAACATTTCAGGGCTAGTTTCTCTGTTCATATCCAATTCCAGTGCTTACAAGCAGTAACCAGGCTGATGCCCAAGTGCAGAAAGCCCCAATTCATTTAGGAAGGAGCACATCTGATGGGGCAATCCTAGGCTTTTTGTTTTCCTTTTTTTATCCCTTTTTTTGTTGGCCTTGTGCTGAGTTTATTTACAAAAAGATCCATTTTGCTTAAAAAAAATGGAAAACTCCATTTTTTATATATATAACAAAATAACAATTATAATCATGATTACTTTATTTAATTATGATTAATTATAATCACAATTAGAGAAGAATATAATTAACATTTTGAGCCCATATTCTGAAGCATTATACTGCTAACTCCTTACTTTTGTGGTGACTCAAAAGGAAGGGAAACAGTGTAAAAGATTAAACACAGACCTAGCAAGATGAATCATAGACTGTGCTCAATGGCTCATGCCTATAATCCCACACTTTGGGAAACTGAAGCCTATTAATTTTTTGTAGAGATGGGGTCTTGCTATGTTGTAGAAGTTAGTGACAAGCCTAAACAACATAGTGAGACCACATCTCTACCAAAAAAAAAAAAAAAAAAAAAGTTTTTGTAATTTGCCAAGCATTGGCACACACCTATAATCCAAGCTACTTTGAGGTGAGAGAATCGTTGAGGCCAGCAGTTCAAGGTAACAGTGAGCTATGATCACCTACTATACTATGCCTCAGCAACAGAGCAACCCTATCTCTATTAAAAATAAATAAATAAAAAGATTAAAAACATAACTACTAACCATTACCTTTAATCCAAGAAAAGAAGATTATTCCCAGTGAAAAGACAATAGGAAAACTGGCTATACATAATGTCTACAGCCTCATATGTCTTTAGATCAATGTACAAACACTGTTATAATAAAGTGAATCTAGAATTTTCATAAAAATAAAATATAAACTTATAGATGTTAACTGAAATTTAGGGATTTCTGAGTGAAATAAGTAAATGAAAAGAAAAGCTGTTCAAAATAGAGCCTTAATAGAAAAAAGAAGTGGTGCTAGATGTTAAGAAGACGTCTTTATATATGGAAGTCCACAAATCTGTGAATAGGAGATAAATGGAGAGAAACAGAAGATAAAAATAGATAAACAGACATAAGCTCAAGGTAAGTACAAATCACACCTCTTAAGCATATGGTAGATATAGATAAGGCTGCCCTGAGATTATAAAATAAGCAAAATAGAATATTTACAAGAAAACTTAAATTGTGTATATCTACTATAAGATATGCTCCATGAGACGGAGGTCTTTGTTTTGTTTACTGGTACATCCCTAACATCTGAACAGATGCATATATTGAACAGGTGCTCAAGAGTAGTTGGATAAAGTAATTAATCTATATATCAGATGAAAGTATCATCCTGCTCAAAGTAAAGACTCATAGTTTGGACTATTTTCAAAATACTATAATGGAATAAAAAAAAGAAAACTGATGCTTGGGCTACTTCTTAATTCTGAGACCACATTTCCTTCTAATATGCCAAGTGGTCCTCAGAAATAAGGACTTGACCAGGCAGTCAAGGAGAAGGTCATTCCAAGTAAAGGGAAGATTTAGCAGCAGCATATGCCAAGGAGTATTTTGAGAAATATGGAGAATATAAACTATAATAATATCACAGAATGTGTATGTTGGGCAGAGATGGTAAAAAATGATATATGAGGTGCCAAAGGTGGGAAGACAGTTTGAAAAGAGGTTTTTAAGACATCTAAAATGTTCAAATTCTAAGTCATTTTAAGCCAAGAAACTGCACTGTTAGCTTTGTATTCTACGATAATAATTCTGGCAGTGGTATGAATGATGATTGAAAAGAGATTAGTCACAAAACAGTGTGCTGAAGTTGACTCATATTGTCTCTTGAGAGCAAACTGTTAAATTTCCAAGAATTCTGGGAGCCAGTTTTCTTTAGATGCAGGTATCGTGAAGTTGACTATGATGAGAGTATTTACACCACAGAAATCAGCAAACACTACAAAATCTGGGCTTTTTCTATCTTCCCAGAAAACAAATTCACCAGCACGCCCATGGAATAGAGCCACAGGAGCTAGTAAAGTACCATATTAGAAGCCTAAGCAAGGCTGGATATGGTGGCTCACACCTCTAAGTCTGGGCAGCCAAGGCAGGATTATCTTCCAAGCTCATGAGTTTGAGACCAGCCTGAGCAACAGCAAGAGCAAGACCCTATCTCTACTAAAAATAGAAAAAACACTGGGCACAGTAGCTCACACCTGTAATCCTAGCACTCTGGGAGGCCAAGGTGGGTGGAATGCTTGAGCTCAGGAGTTCAAGACCAGCCTGACCAAGAGTGAAAGCCCGACCAAGGATGAGACCCTGTCTCTACTAAAAATAGAAAAACTAGAAGGGTGCTGTGGTACATGCCTGTAGTTCTAGCAACTTAGGAGACTGAGGCAAAAGGATTACTCAAGCTTAAGAGTTTGAGGTTCTTGTGAGCTATGATATCACAGCCCTCTACCCAGGGTGACAGAGTGAGACTCTGTCTTTAATAAATAAATAAAAATAGAAAAAATAGCTAGGAGTTGTTGCACATGCCTGTAGTCTCAGCTACTTGGGAGGCTGAAAAGAGTTTTGAGATTGCAGTGAACTGGCCTGATTCCCTAGCACTCTAGCCTGGGTAACAGAGCAAGAATCTGTCTCTAAACAAGTAAATAAATAAATAAAGCAGAAAGTAACATTAAAAATAAGATGAAAGCCTAAGCAGCATAATAAAGGCCTGAAAAAGACAGTGGCACTAAGAATGTCAAAGAAGTGACAAATTTGTAGACAGCATAACGTGTAAGAGGACTTAGTGACAAGCTGAAAATGGGCAAATCGAGGATGATTCCCAAGTTGCCTGATTAAGTAACTAACACAGTGATTTGAGTTTTGCACTAAGCTAGGCATTGAATATACAAAGATGAACATGAACAAAACTCTGCATCTAAGGAACTCATCATCTATGTGGGGAACAAGCACACATTTAACTAACTGCATAGTTAACAAGAGGTAATAAAGACTACCAGAGGAAAAAGGAGACAAGAATAAAAAACAATGAATTCATTTCTTTTTTTCATATGTAGAACTTGTACTATTTGTTCATTTATAGATTTTCACTATAGAACTAGCAGTATGTGTTCACTATCAAGATAGAAATGTCCAGTAGACAGAAACTTAGTTCTATAGTTCAGAAGATGTGAGGACCACATAAAAACCACAAAAAAAAAGATCCGATGATTTAGGAAAAAATTCTAGAATGCACAACAAACAGAAATGAAGAAAATAGGGTTCAGACACCCAGAAAACAACCAAAATTTGGGAGTGGATAGAGGAAATGAAAGCAATCCAAGAGACTGAAGAGTGTTCACAAACAGAGAAATATGAAAAGAATGGCAAAATCCAAAAGATGAGACAGTTTAAAGAAATTAAGTCAAAGAGCTTGCAAAGATCTAACAGAATGAGGACTAACAGTCCTTAGATAAATATAATGTTTCTCTTTTACAGTTTCCTCATCCCATACGAAGAACATCAGAAACACCTCACAAATTTTCAAACAATGTATCTGCTCACCAATCCTATCCTCTATTAGTGACAAATTCTAATAGAGTAATTCACAGCTACTGATCAAAATGCTTAATGCTAAATGTTAAGGGCGGGAGGGGGGGCAGTAGATACTAACAAGCATCTGTAGGAAACTGGAAAACAGCACTTAAAGAATCAGGGATGTTTTTAAAAGCACAGAACCCATGAGTCACTTGAGGGAAGTATTTAAAAAAAAAAAATCAAACCTATTATAAGTTCAAGTAAGATAAGAACCAAAAGTGTCCATTTGGTTTATCCACAAAGAAGTCATTGAAAATCTTCCAAAGTTATTTCAATGTCATAGCATGGGGGTGATTGGGTTCCTGAGGAGACTGCAAGAAAATTCAGAGCACAATAAGAGGTACTGTCATTGGGAAGGGGCAGAGACTCCACTTCCGTTGTAAGTGAAAATGCAGGGTGGTTGTAGGTTCAGATTAAGTCATAGGTCATAGGGTATTGCAAGAAATGGAGAAAGTTCACATCTGATGGATTCTATTTTTTTAAAGAAGTTGAAAGTCATTTGTTGAGCTTGAAGGAGGAGGTATAAAAAGAGTAAAGCTTTAAAAAATAAAAAAGAATTTCTTTAAAGAACCTTCTAAGAACTGATTACAATTCCTAAAATGCAGTGAAACATACTCAATGTCTGGCCTGTGTTACTCCTTTCACTGTTCACCTAGGAAGTCCATTTACAGTTCAAAATCACTCCACCTATAAAGCCTTTCCTGACACTCCCTAACCAGCTGTCACCCTCCTTCCTCTATTAATTCTTCACTTTGAAGACAACCCTACTGCTATCCTTACAACATTATATAACAGCGCCTACCTTTATAGCTCTACACAATTTCTCCTATTAGATGGTGAGCTACTTGAGAGCACAATTTACACATATAACAGGAGTTCCAAACTTAAACTGAATTTAAATTAAGAAAAAGGCTGCGCACAGTGATTCCTGCCTATTATCCCAGCACCCCAGCACTTTGGTTGGCTGAGGTGGGGGGAATCATTTGAGGCCAGGAGTTCAAGACCAGCCTAGGCAACGTAGTATGACCCTGACTCTACAAAAAACTTTTTAAAAATTAGCCAGGCATGGAGGCATGCACCTACCATTCTTGTTACTTGGGAGGTAGAGGCAGAAAGAGGATCACTTGAGCCCAGGAGTTCATAGTGGGCTTATAGCGAGCTGTGATCACACCACTGCACTTTGGTCTGTGACAGAAACTCTACCTCTAAAAGAAAAAGCAAAAGTAAAAAGAGAAAAAATAAGAAGATACAAAGATGCACTGGATAGAGACCCTAACCTAAGAATCTAACACCATCCAGTTCGGAAAACACCATCACTTATTTTGACAAAAGAATAGAAATTATCATGAGAAGTCAAGTAGTTAAATGACAAAATATTCTACAGTCAGAGAAAACTAACAATAATTTAGAACTATATTTCCAGCATTTATAACCCACTTTGGTCAATATGCGCATATGCATCTCATGGTGATATTCAGTTTAAAAAATATTTATTCTAGGCCAGGCCCAGTGGCTTATGCCTGTAGTCCCAGCACTTTGGGAGGTGAGGTGGGAGGATCACCTGAGGCCAGGAGTTGGAGGCCAGCCTGAGCAACATAGCAGGATCTCTACAAAAAATTTAAATTAGCCAAGCATGGTGGCACTCACCTGTAGTCCCAGGTACTGGGAAGGTGGAGGCAGGAAGAGGATAGCTTGAGCCCAGGAATTCGAGACTGCAGTGAGCTGTGATGGCACCACTGCACTGCAACCCAGGCAAAAAAAGCAAAACTTGTCTCAAAGAAAAAAAAAAGAAAACTCAAAAAACACACCCATAGAAAAACAAAGACATTTATTCTGCACCTACTGTATGCAATATACTACTACTTACACTGTGGAATGTAAAAAGTTTCAAAATACATTAAAAGAGATTAAGACAAGTATAGGAATGATTTTACTACAAGGTATAAGAAGATATGATTAGGGGTAAAAGTTAAGAACATAAGAGAAGGAGCCTTATTTTTACAGTCAGAAGTTTGAACTTTGAGGAATAAGAGATTTGGGATATGGATTAATACAACTCAATGTGTTTTCCAAGAGTACTATATTTAACTTTGCTTATTTGGGGCAACTTCTCTCCAAAACTGACTAGCAATAAATCTGATTGCTACATTTCGAAACAAACGGTTAATCCCAACCTGAAGGAATGCTCTACCTCCTCTTTGATTGCAGATAGTTGCCCCATAAAAAAGCAAACAAGGCTACAAGAGGGACCACCTGTATATAGCCCAAAAATTTGTTAAAGGAGTAGGCTTTTCCAATGCTACTTAAAAACGAGCCCTTATTTCATTAAGCGTCATCTGTTCCAAGTCTTAGATTTCTAAAGGGTTCGAACTCTTCACCCCTTGGTCAAGAACTGCGGCAGCAGCTGATGGCTGCCAACGCGGGCCACCAGGTGCGAGGTCCCACAACTTCAGGGAAGCCCTGGGCGTGTGGCGGGGTCGAGTCGAAACGGCAAGCAACCAGAAATCAAGTGTCCCCAAAACACTGGAGAGAAGAGGGAGCGAATCCCTGGAGAAACACGTTGACTAGGCCAGTACCCGGACTCCAGGGGGCCGGGCAGAGGGGAGTGGTCACGTCGAGACTGAAAAACTTTCTGCAAAGCGACGGGTTGAGTCCATCGCCCCAGCCTAGGTGCGGAGCAGGACGACCTTCCATCCCCACAACCCGGCCAGACTGCTTACCGTCCTGTAGAAGCTCCCGGACTGCAGCTGCAGCCGCCCCAGAGCCCCGCGTCCCAAGGCCAGCCACAGCAACGACGCCGTCGCCACCTTCCATGTTGGCAGGTGCCTGGTTGATGGCGTCAGCGACAGGGCCACCCCGCCCAGGCGGTGACGCAGAATCCCCGCGCCGCCCGCCCCGCCAGCCCGCGGCTCCGCGTGGGCCTGAGGAGCTACTCGGCCGCTGCCTGGGACCGGCGCGGGCTCCGGAGCCGGAAAGCGCTCCCCGCCGTCTCGCTGCAGCTCCGGCCGAGGACTAGGCGGTCGCCGGGACGCGGCCGCAGTGCGTCCCTCTGAATCAAGTATTAGACCTGAGAATAGGGGCCTCGTGCCGCAGGGCTGCAGAGGCGTGGCGAGCTTCCTGGGAGCTTCCTTTGCCCTTCCCAGCGAGCGGGACTGAGTTGTAGCATAACTACGTATCTGTCCAACGCCTCGATTCGCAATCCTGGGATAAAGATCCCGCGGGAAAAGCTGGAAAAGAAAAAGTTGCTGGGTCTCAACAGTGCGGGGAATTAGGGAGAGTTGATGAAGAAGGAAGACTGAACAGCGAAAAGACAAGTAGGATTCCTTGTCTCTGCCCTCCTTTCCTTGAGACCTTGACCTTTTGCTTTTTCTGCCTCTTCCTCTCAGTTTAAATTTTGTGCTACAAGTGACGCCTAGCTTGTTCTTAACTACACATTGATAGATTGTCTCAATCTCAACTAACAGTATTGACATTGTAAAATCAAGTTGGTTTCCACTTATATATTCTCTGCTAATACATGTATATTACTGACCTAGATTTATTTTAAGATAAATACTGACAAATTTACAGGGTCAACCCCACGTGTAAAAACTCTTTATCGTTTATTCGCAAAAAGAAGCTGTAATATTTTTTTCATTTTGTAAAGTAGGTGTGTACCCAGGAAACCAATTTACAATTCCGGAACAACGTGGTTCTCTGCATTCTGCCAATAGTATTTCAAGAAGATGCTATAATAGTACTTACCTTGTGCTAAATGCTATTATACGTGCTTTAAAGATTTAATCGGTCTTAATACTCTTAACAACTAAAGTGAACAAATCCTAGGGGGTAGTTTTTCCTCCCTTGGCTAACCCCCATTGGAAGATTTTGGAAGTATTTATACTACTCATTCATACAATGAAAATTTTGAGCCCCTATTATACATACCAGCATGAGTTGACTCAATCTGTATCCTAAAAAGCTAATGGATAAGATAGGAGCCCATTTAAACAGTTGTTCCAGGTGCTATGGAATGTATGGATTTACTTATTTCCAGTAATTCCAAACTTGGCTGTACTTTGACGTCACCTGAAGAACTTTAAAAAACATTTATTCCTACATCCTAAGCCCAGAGATTCAGATTTAGTTGGTTCGGAGTATAGCTTGGGCATCCTGATTTCTAAAAGCTCCCCAAGTTGTTGTAGTGTATAACCAAGGCTGAGAGCTACAGATTTATTCTTTCAGAAAATAGATATTGAGGGAGGCCCCCACTGTGCCATTTACTCCAATGACATGAATGAATAAGGATGAAGTCAGTCCTGCTAAAGTCACTAATGACTGTGATATGTAAGATGCTTGGCCCTTCCCTCTTTTGTAATAATCTCTACTCGTTTGGTTTTTAAGGTTTATTCCTCCAAACACCAAAGTTCATGTGTCTCAATCTCCTTTGCATTCCCTTTTCCTCAGCCCGTTACTTAAATGTTAGCACTTCAAGGATTTCTTGCAGGGTCCTTGGTACATTGGCCTCGTTACCCAAAGGTTAAACACTCTCAATTTTGAGCAATTACACCTTTCTTAATTTTCTTCTTTTTTTTTTTTTTTGCAGTTTTTGGCCGGTGCTGGGTTTGAACCCGCCACCTCCGGCATATGGGGCTGTCGCCCTACTCTTTTGAGCCACAGGCGCCGCCAATTACACCTTTCTAAAGTTGGTTTATATCTGTTTCCAAGTCACTAAGGCCAAAATTTGAAATTTGAAAAATAATATGAAATGATAGGATTTTAAGTATCAGAAATATAAAACATTCATGAAGTACGTAATTTCATCATTTGTATCTTGGGGGTATAAAAGTGATTATACAGTTATAATAGATTACAGCTGAAATATTTCTGGATAATACCACATTTAAGTTTTTTTTAAATAACGAAGATTTGTTTACCTTTTGATTCATAGATACAAAAAAATAGGATTGAAAAATCACAATAAAAATACCAGAATATCTTTAGAAATGCTGACTACTTGAGTTGTTCTGTTAAGGCCATTTAACTTTCCTAAATAAAACCTGGTATCTAAAAGTTCTAGTCATATAGAGTAACATATATGAAATAATGCAAACAAATTTCTTGGTTTATCAATCCCCCCCAAAAATAGAAAAAAATTGTAGATAAATGGCCCACTAGGAAAAAATCTTGTCGTTTTCCACATCTTGTTTTTCCCCATCTTGTATCATTTTCCACATTTATTTATGTTATAAATAGAGGCAGAATTCTGTAGTGTCCTATTTGATACTGTTAAAAGCAGCTCAAATATTTCTGAACCTACAAGCCCAATTAAAAAATATGTTGTTGCCAATTGAATTGACTCATCTCTAGTCAAAGTATACTTTTCTCTATGCAAACTGTCTTTTTCAGATTTGAAACAAGTCTGTATTCATGAAGAGTGACTGCATACAAACCACAATATGTCAAGAAACAAAAAAAGATCCAATAGAAATGTTTCATTCTGGGCAGCTGGTAAAAGTCTGTGCTCCAATGGTTCGATATTCAAAGTAAGTGCTGTTAAATAGTTAATGAACTAAGATGAAATTTCCCTTTTATGTCCTGACTTTAATTTAAAGTATTATAAGACCCCCCTCCCCTCACATGGGATCTTCAAACTTCTAGCTTTGGTATTATAATCTAGAATTTAGGCCTGGTTCTACCATTTGTCTTGTATATGTATGACCCTAAGTAAACAACTAGCCTCTTCAGTCTTCACTTTTTATAGCGATAAAAATGATAGAGCTTGTATCACCCACCTATAAAGATACAGTGGATATTAAGAAGATATAAACTTTTATATATGGATTTTTGTGTAAGCCTTGAGACAAATGCTCAGGAGTGCAATTGGTGGGTCCTTTGGTTGTTGTATCTTTAGTTTTTATTAAAACTTGCTAAATTTTTCTAGAGTGGCAGTACCACTTTACATTGTCACCAACAGTTTCTTCTCATTCTTGCTCACTTTTAATGTCACTTTTTTATTTTAACTATTCTGATAGGTATGTGATGATACCATTTTGGTGTTACTCTGCATTTCCTCCATACCTAGTGATATTGAACATCTTTTCATGTGCTTATTTGAAATCTATATATTTTTGAAATGTTTCTTCATGTCTTTTGCCCATATTCTAATGGAATTTTTTTTTTTTTTGCTATTGAGTTGAGTTTTTAAGTTTTTTTAATTGTTGTAAAATATACATAACATAAAATTTACCTCTTAATCATTTTTAAGTTTACAGTTCAGTAGTATGAAGTACATTCACATTGTTTATCTGATCTGTACAATTCTTTTTATCTTAGAAAAATGAAACTATACCCTTTAAACACTAACTCCCCATTTCACTGTCTCCCTATCCCCTGGTAAGCATCATTCTACTTTCTATATCTCTATGAATTTGACTACTCTAATTACCTCATATAAATGGTATCATGTGATATTTCTCTTTTTGAAACTAGCTTTATTTTACCAATATTTTACATACCATAAAGTCCTCAAGTCATTGTAGCATATGCCAGGCTGTCCTTCCATTTTTGTGTGTGTGTTTTTTTTTTTTTTTTCCCTGAGACAGAGTCTCACACTGTTGCCTGGGGTAGAGTGCTGTGGCATCAGCCTAGTTCACAGCAACCTCAAACTCTTAGGTTCATGCAACCTCTTGCCTCAGCCTCCACAATAGCTGGACTACCACAATGCCTGGCTTGTTTTGTTTTGTTTTGTTTTTTCCTATTTTTAGTAGAGATGGGATCTCCCTCCTGCAGAGGCTGGTCTGGAACTCCTGAGCTCAAGCAATCCACCCACCTCCACCTCCCAGAGTGCTAGAATTACAAGCATGAGCCACTGCACCTGGCTTCTGTCCTTCCTTTTTAAAGCTGAATAATATTCCATTTTATAATATATGTATAGTACTTTTTGTTTATCTATTCATCCATTGATGGACACTTTGGGTTGCTTCTATCTTTTACCTATTGCAAATAATGCTACTATGAATAGGAGTTAGAAATATCTCTTTGAGATCCTGCTTTCAATTCTTTTGGCTACATACCCAAAAGTGGAATTGCTGAATCATATGGTAATTCTATGTTTAATTTTTTTTAGGAATTATCATACTGTTTTACACAGCAGCTACACCATTTTACCTTTCCACCAGCATTGCACAAGTAGTTTAATTTCTCCACATCTTTGTAAAGGCTTATTATTTTCTGGAAGCATTTTTTAATCGTATCTTTCCTAATGGGTATGAAGTGGTCTCCATATTTATTTATTTATTTATTTATTTATTTTGAGACAGAGTCTCACTATGTCGCCCTTGGTAGAGTTCCATGGTGTCATAGCTCACAGCAACCTCCAACTCTTGGCCTTAAGTGATTCTCTTGCCTCAGCCTCCCAACCTAGCTAGGACTATAGGCACCCACCACAACACCCGGCTATTTTTGTTGTTGTTATTGTTGCAGTTGTTGTTTAGCAAGTCCAGACCAGGTTTGAACTTGCCTGCCTCAGTGCATGTGCCTGTACCCTAAACACTGAGCGATGGGCACCAGCCATGAAGTGGTCTTTAATTGTGATTTTGGTTTACATTTCCCTTATGATTCGCAATCTTAAGCATCATTTTGTGTGCCTATTTGCTGTTTGTAGATCTTCTTTGTAGAAATATTTATTCAAGCACTTTCCTCTCTTTTTTTTGGAAACAGTCTCATTTTGTCACCCTCAGTAGAGTGCTTTGGCATCACAGCTCACAACAACTTCAAACTCTTGAGCTCAAGTGATTCTCCTGCCTCAACTTCCCTAGTAGCTGGGACTACAGGTGCCCGCCACAGTAGTAGGAAAAAAAACAGCTGTTTTTTTCTATTTTTTTTAGAGATGGGGTGTCTTGCTCTTCCTCAGGGTAGTCTGGAACTCACAAACTCAAGCAATCCACCCACCTTGGCCTCCCAGAGTGCTAAGATTACATGCATGAGCCACCTCACTCGGCCTTATTTTGTCCATTTTTGTATCAGATTATGTTCTCTTCTTTACTATTAAATACTGAGAGTTATTTCTAAAAATATTATTATGGTTTTGTTTTTCTTTTTAAAAGAGATGAAGAGTCTTGCTATGTTGCCTAGGCTAGTCTTAAACAATTGCTTAAGCAGTTTGCCCACCTCAGCCTCCCAAAGTTCTAGGATTAAAGGTGTGAACCACCAAACCTAGCTATAGTTTTATGATTTGCATAGAACATAAATCCATGATCAATTTTGAAGTAATTTTTGAATAGGTGTAAGACTTAGGTTGAGGTTCTTGTTTTTCCTCCCATCTGTATGTCTGAGGACTCTAGCTCTATTTGTTGGTAAGGGTATCTTTTATTCTATTGAATTCCTTGGCGTTTTTTTCAAACAACTAGAGGTTTACTGTTTTGTTCCGTTGATTTGCCTGTCTCTCCCTCCGTAAGACTTATACTACATGGTCTTAATGACTGTAGCTATGTAATAAGTATTAAAATCAGGCCAGCTGTGGTGGCTTAGGTGGCCTGTAATCCTAGTACTCTGGGAGACTAAGCCAAGTGGATTGCTTGAGCTCAGGAGTTCCAGACCAGCCTGAGCAAAAGCCAGACCCCGTCTTTACTAAAAGTAGAAAAAAACCTAGGTGGGTGTTGTGGTGGGCACCTGTAGTCCCAGTTACTGGGGAGGCTGAGGCAAGGGAACTGCTTGAGCCCAAGAGTTGAGGTTGCTGTGAACTATGATGATGCTATGGCACTTTACCCAGGGTGACAGAGTGAGACTCTGTCTCAAAAAAAAAATTCTCTTAAAATCTTCCACTTTAATTTTCTTTTTCAAAATTGTTTTCAGCTATTCTAGTTCCCTTCCCCTCCCAGTAAATTTTAGAGTGATCTTGTCTGTATTTACAAAAAAACTTGCTGTAATTTCTATAAGAATTATCAATTTACGGAAAATTTACTTTGCTATGTTTAGTCTCTCAATCCATGAACAGAGTATGTTTCTCCACTAATATAGATTTTCTTAGATTTCTATCAGTGTGTATAGTTTGTGGCATGCAAGTTAAGTATGTGTTTTCTTTTTTTTATGTACATGTTAAATTCGTTATCTGTGTATTCATTTCTAATACATAAAAATATAATTTATATTTGTATATTGATCTTATATCCTGAAAACTTGCTGAACTCATTTATTGGTTCCAGGACTATTTTCCTAAAATTCCTTAGGATTATCTATGTGAACAGACATGTCACCTATAGGTAGAGATGGTTTTATTTATTTTCGATCATATGCCTTTTGTTTTTCATGCACTATATCGCTGGTTAGAAGTTTTAGTGCGCTATGTCGAATAAGAGTGGTGAAAGTAGACATCCTTGCCTTATTCTTTTTGGGGGGGAAAGGGTTCTGTAGAATTTTGTTATAAATGAGTGCATTTGGTCATGCTTTTTCTACATTGATATGCTCTGAGATTTTTTTTCCTTTAGCCTATTAGTACATAATACAGTAAATGATATCAGTTGATTTTGAATATTAAACCTTATATTTCAACTGGCTTTTTCTGACACAGTTCCAGCAGGGAAAGGTAGAGGAGGTGGTGCCACCTTCTACCTTTCTACTGTCAGGTAGAAGACCAGGTTCACCATTTTGCCATCTTTGACGTATAGGGCACAAGGAGGTCCTCATTGCTGCTTGGCAGGATTGAAGTTCTAGCTCCCCATCATGGAAGTAGCCTCATAAAGCTGGGTAATAATGAAAGTCATAACTCTCCACTAGCCCTCCTCTGAAACCAATGCCAGCAAGGAGGGAGAGGGGTACTTCAGTACTGCTGGGTAAGGATGGAAGTCCAGGCTCCCCATGTAGTCTCCACTGATAATAGTGGGGGGCAGGGGTGGGCATTCAGTGGCCAGCCAGGATGACAAGTACCACACACCTCCCTGGTTTTCTTGGACACCACCAGAATGGAATGTTGGAGTACCTTGTTACAGACTTGGAAAGCAGAAGTCTAGGACTCTCACTGGACTTGGTAGAAGTAAGACCATAGCTTTTTCTATATTGTTTGGCTGGAATAGAACTGTTTGTCTTGGGCAGTGCCTGTGGCTTAAAGGAGTAGGGCATGGGCTCCATATACTGGAGGTGGTGGGTTCAAACCCAGCCCTGGGCCAAAAACTGCAAAAAAAAAAAAAATTTCTGTCTTGCTAGGCTTGCCTTTTTATTCATCCTTTAGTTAGAGCATATTTTTGTTGGGATCATTTTATCTGTACCCATTGGCATTTCCAGGAGGCCAGCTTAGCTTCTTCAACTTTAAGTGTAGGATTTTTTTATTGACGCTAATCCAATGACAGATTTAAGTCTGGGATATTTGAGACTGAAAGAAAATCCAAGGAACTCACCACTCATTCCTTAGGTCTTGAGGTCATTAGCCTGACTGATCTCTGTTCTCTGCCTTTCAAAGTTTTCTTATATTTGATCTGTATGTGATGTCCAGGGTTTACTTAGTTTTTTTAATTTTGCATTAATATGAGGGTACATATAATTAGGTGACATTATTTGTGTTTGTAATATAAAGTCCAAAGTCTGAGTTATAGTTGAGTCCTGCACTCAGGAGGTATGCCATATACCCTAACATTGTACAGGATAGGTGGGAACTTACCAACCCCCTCCTCCCTTCTCTCCTTCTTGAATTTAATTATGTTTTTCTCTCATGTGGGCCTGTAGTTATTGATCTACTGTTTTCAGATTAGTACTGAGTCCATGGGATGCTTGCTTTTTCTGTTCTTAAGGTACTTAGGAGAATGTTCTCCAAATCCATCCAGGTATAAACAAAAGATGTAAAGTGTCCTTTTTTTTTTTTTTATGGCTGAACAATATTCCATGATATACATATACCACAGTTTTAATCCATTGACTGGTTAATGGGCACTTGGATTGTTTCCAGATCTTTGCAATTGTGAATTGAGCTACTATAAACATTCAAATACAAATGTCCTTAAAGTAAAATGACTTTTTTTCTTCTGAGTAGATACCTAATAATGGGATGGCAGGACCATATGGGAGATTTACTTTTAGTTCTTTGAGGATTCCCTATACTTCTTTCCAAAAAGGCCATACTAGTTTGCAATCCCAACAGTGGATAAGCATACCCTCTCTCTCCTCACCCACACCAACATCTGCAACTTTGGAACCTTATGATGTGGGCTGTTCTCACTGATGTCAAGTAATATCTCAAAGTAGTTTTGATTCTCATTTCTCTGATGATTAGAGATGATGAGCATTTGTTCATGTGTTTGTGAGCTGTTCATCTGTCTTCTTGGGGAAAGTTCTGTTTATGTCTCTTACCCAATGATAAATGGAGTTGCTTGCTCTTTTTTTGTTGCTTCAGTTGAGTTCTTCATATATCCTGGTCCTTAGCCCTTTGTCTGATTCGTAACATGCAAATATCTTCTCACATTCTGAAGGTTGTCTATTTGCTGTATTGATTGTGTCCTTTACTGTGCAAAAACTTTTTAACTTGATCAGGTCCCACTTATTTAACTTTGTTGTTGTTGTAGTTGCCAATGGGGTCTTCTTCATGAGTTGTTTCCCAAGGCTGATATCCTTAAGAGTTTTTCTGGCCAAGGGTGGTGGCTCACTCCTAGTACTCTGGGAAGCTGAGGCAGGTAGATAGAGCTCAGGAGTTCGAGACCAGCCTGAGCAAGAGCAAGATCCTGTCTCTACTGAAAAATAAAAACATTAGCTGGGTGTTGTGGTGGGCACCTGTAGTCCAGGTTGCTGAACTATGACACCACAACACTCTACCCAAGGGAACAGAGTAAGACTCTGTCACAAAAAAAAAGTTCTCCCACACTTTCCTCTAGGGTTTTTAATTATATGTAACAGGAAGAATAGGGAAAAGTAAGTCTACTTTATCTTACCATTGGCAGAATGTTCCTAAATAAATAATAATCAATTAAATTTGAGATTACATATGGTTATGGTGTTTTCTAAATGCATAATTAAGGTTTTATATACTCACAGGTTGGCTTTTAGAACACTAGTAAGAAAATACAGTTGTGACCTGTGCTATACACCAATGATAGTTGCTGCTGACTTTGTCAGATCTATAAAAGCAAGAGACAGTGAGTTTACCACAAACCAAGGTATGTGAAACCCATTGTTTGCTGACTTTATAAAATACTTTTTTTAATTTTTAAAATTTTTTTTACAAACTATCTTATCTAGAGATCTTGTATTAAATCTTCTTTTAAAAATA